AAAATAAAAATAAATAGGTCTATCTGGTGAAATTGCTATGAAGATTAGCTGATACAATATTCATGATATAAACATTTACTTAATTTTTACTCATCTCTGTAATTTCCACAGCTCTTTCCAGAGTAACTTGTATGGTACTAGAATCTTAGGGATTGAAAAAATAATTCAATAATCATAAATCCAGGCCAAAGTTCAGGACTCTGGTGATTTCTTTCAATAAATTCTCTTTTTTTTTTACACTTTCATGGGTACTTTTGTTATCAGTTCCATGGACAGAGCCCAGGAGACCCTACCTCTCTTGAACTGCTGGAAGCAGGGGGTTTCAGAGGTTACTAATCCCTGATGGTTTGATGGCAAAGTGACTCCAGTCAATAGCATTGCTCAACCATGCTCAGTTGAGCATTTCCACTGTGATGAGCCTGATTATTCCCTGGATCTGCTACGAATATGAATTAGATTATAAATAGAGAAGTCTCTCTGCCTCAAGACTTTCAAACCATGACATTTCTAGATAGGGATGAAGTTTTACATCAAAGTAAGACACATGGTGCCTCTATCTGCCACTAAGACCTGGAAGGTTAGCCTATACTGAGTCAAATAGGGCTGTGGACAAAACAATGTTACAATAGCCTTTTAGAACATAGCATTGTCTCTGAAAGAGGGGTTTCAGTAGGTAAATTCTCTAGAACACTCACACTCACACACACACACACACACACACACTTGGTGGAATGATGTCAGAATAGTCATGTCTCCATCATGCACAAATGATGATAAGCTTTGCTCTTTAATTTGCATTTTTCTGGACTATTTTGCACTTTTGTGCTAAGTTTAGGGATACTGATGAGCTTTAAGAGACTGAGAGACCTCTTAAACACAAATATGATAGGAAGTTGTGAAACTAATGAATCCTCAAGTCCTGTTGCTTGAGCATAAAGAAACCAGTATACCCCATTCTACTACTAGGTTATTCTGTGTTGGGTTATGTACCAGTTCTGTTTTGATTTTTTTTATACTTAGTTCATGTGATCCTCATAACAACTCCATGAGGTCAGGATCTTTAGGGGCATCTTATAAATGAAGATTCAGATGCCCAGAACTTAGGTTAACAATGATTTGGCTCCTTGGGATTTTCTGGTCAAGCATAAAGATGAAGTGTGCCCAAGAAGCATTTTCTAAGGCTGGTGGTTCTGCTAATTGGAAGATTCTCCCTTTGTTTCATGGAACAACTGTTAGGACTTTGGATGAGCACTGCTGGAAGCAAGAGCTCATCAAGGAAAGAAGAATTTTAAATGCTTAGAGGAAAATACTGGAGAGAAGAGCTCTAAGTCAATGAGAATGGTCTTTTTCATGCATTGAAAGAAGGAAAAAGGAATCCCCAGTGACAAGAGGGGTAAGGGGTTTTTGAAAAGTAATGGATTCCCATGGAGGAATGTTAATTTGCTTGCTTAGATATGTGTGATGTAATCTCCTGTCCCTTCTTTCCTATGTTCTTTTAAATAAAATATGTGTTTCTCACCAAAGTTCTGGTGCAAGTGAATTAGTCAAAGGATTTTAAAGAGGGATAGGCTTCTGAATTTAGCTAGGATGCAAGATGATCCATGAAAAAGCACTTGCATCTTATGTCACAGAACTGACATGTGGCCTTCATGTGGGAGACATATTCTTAATGTCTGGCACATGGTTAAGGAAAAAATTAAAACCTGTCAAAACATGTTGAGTTTAACTGAACAAAACAAATGAAAGAAACTATAGGGTGGGAGGAAAAGTAAAAAAATTCATTCCAAGAATAGAGAGGATGTTATTTAAACAACCATTGGAATTCTTGCTTTCTTCATCAGTGAACTGAGTTTCTTGGATAATATGCTTTCAATGACTCCATTCAGTTTTTGCATCCTTTATTTCTACAGCCACTGCAGTTTGTCTTCAGACATAGGCAAAGCTACTAATATTAAGGTACTTTCCACTGTTATAAGCAAGACATCAGAATTCCCTACTTTGCAGGAGCCACTATGCTCAATACTTTTAGTATGACTCAGAATGCCTGTCTTGCAAGATCAATTCTTTGGTCCCTGAGGCTATCACCAGTGGTTGAACTAAAGGACCCAATTATACTCTATGACATCAATATCAAGAGATAAACTGTGTGCCCTCAACTTTATACCATCTCCTCTCAGTTTTTAGTCACAGAAGAGCAAGACCCATGAGCAAAGCTTTGAAATGAGAAATAATAGTCAAAGTTCCATCTGGAAATAAAGTCTTGCTATTTTAATTGACACTGCATTTTATCCAATCATTCAACAAGTATATTTTGAGGAACTACCATGAGCCAGGTCTTACATGAGATGCCTGAACTATAGGAATGAAGGAGGCAGAAATTATTTTTGTCCATTTATTACTCAAGTCTAGTGGTGGAGACAGGAAAGAAATCAAACAAGGGCAATTCACTATGCAGGAAGTAATGTGGTGGGCAAATTGACATGGTATGAGACCACAGAGAAGAGTTACCTAGTTCAGACTTATAGAACAGATAGTCCTTTCCAGAGGGTACGGAGTCTAAGATTTAAAAGATGGCTATGACTTAACCAGGCATAGAGAGCAGAGGAGGCACTTCCACTCAGAGAAACCATCTCCTAATTGAAGGAAAGATGGCAGCTTTGAGCATTCAGGAAACATACAGGAGATCAGTTCAGGTAAATTATATAACTGGTGAGGAGTACTAAGAGATGAAACTGGAGAAGTGGACAATGGCCAGCACTTGGAGTCTCGGAGCCACTTTAAGAGTTTTGGATACTATCCTATAGTTAATAGGGAGTAATCAAAGGGTTTAAGCAATGGAAGACACAACAAATACACATTTTTAAAGCATCGCTCTTCCTCGACTTTGAAGAAATATTTTGTAGAGCGGCAAGAATGAGAGCAGTGAAACAAGAGATAGTGACACATGGCCCATAGTGGTGGCTGTGAGAATGGAGATAAATGGACACATGAGGAATATAAAGGAAGTGCATTTTGAATATTATTTAATCATTTTAATTATTCTCTTGATAGTATTTTCCTGATCTATTCTGTATTTCCTGGACTATGTTACTTAAATAAATGCCATGCCACTCAAAAAGAAGATGATCATGTCTCTTAGTGATTTCTCACTGTCAAATATCACTTATGTCTCTTGTCTCAATTGTCTAATTAATGTGTTGATATCTATCTTCATCCATTCCTTCATTCTTTTATTCCAACATACATTTGTTGAGTATCTATTGGATGCTAGGCACAGATCTAGACACCGGAGACCCAACAGTGAAGGGATAAAAACCTTGTCCTCTTAGAGCATACAGTCCATGAGTATTGCAGACAAAAACAAAGTAAGTAAATAAACGAAGAATGTAAGCTCAGATGGCACTATCACAGGGTAGTGAGATAAAGTGACAAGAATTGACCACTTCACATTGGGGGATCTACAAAGGTCTCTCTGAAAGGAGGCATTTGAGTTGAGACCTGAGTTCTCAGATACTCAGGCAAGGATCTGAGTAAAGTGTGTACCCAGGATCTGGGAGAAGGAGCAGTAAGAGAAAATGTCTTGAAGAGAGACATCTCCCCTGACCACTTCATAACCTAGCATTCCTTGCCACTTAATCTTGATCCTATTTGTACTACTCTACTCTCTTTTATGTAAAGGATTTGTCACTTTCTCAATGCTATCTACAACTTATAATTTCATCTTCTTTATTGTCACCTATCTTCTCTGACTGGAATATAAATTTCAAGAGGGCAGAAAGGCTTATGTTTTGTTCATTGGTGCATCCTCAACACATGGGAGAGCTCCTGACACATACCTGGAGCTCAAACACTTTTTCAGTGAATGCATGAAAGAGTGCATACTAAGTGGTTAGCAATAGAAATAGGGACAATATGACTGACTGGGGCATCATGAAAGTAAAGTGAAGTATGACATGAAGAAGGTATTTGGGGGGGGGGGGAGAAACTCATGCAGTGTTGTGTAGCCCATAGCAGAGTCTGGTTTTTATTTTTAAAACTCTTTACTAGAGGGTTTTGAGTGGAGAAAGGAAGAGGTTGGATTTGCATTTTTAACAGATCACTCTGGGTACTATGTGGATAATGAACTGTAGGCTGTGAAGAGAGAGAAGAGTGATCTTTCAGGGAGTGAAGACTTCAGTGACTCCTAAGCCCATTTCCTCAGCCATAATGGATTGCTCGATGTTCACTATCCTTTAAGTAGTTTGTGTCAACCTCGCAGTAATGCATTATGGGGGATGTGCCAACTCCCTTTCTCCTGGCAAGGCCAAAGGTAACAACAGCCTGGAGCTGGGTGCAGAGCTAATTCTAGGGGAGCATCTTTCATTCCAAGAAAGCATAAACATACTTCAGAGATGCAGCCTTGATTAAAAATACATGGACACTCTGTATGCATTCACTCACATATGGCCTTTGATTGCCTGGCATTTTCAATTCATACAAGAACATTATGGTGCTGCATTATGGATGAGAAGACACATTTCACCATCTTAAATGGAGGGATTTTATGTGCTTTTTCTTTCCCCTCCTCATCTTCCATCACCCTCCCTGCCCGTTAGTCAGAGATTAAACTGTTTAATTAAGTTCTGATTAACTGTACTCTCAATTTTGTCACAGGAGTGTTTCCCATAGCCTTGGCTGCTGCCTTTCTTCACGGAGATGAGGGCTAGTTGTGCCCCAAAGATGAGGAGCATCCACACCACCAGCTCTGCTTGCTGGCAAGTTCGCCTCACATGGCCTTCAGTATCTACCTTCTGCTGCAAGTTTTACGCCACCATTTTAATCTTGAACAAGTGAATTAACTAACTTTTATATGACGTGTCCACCATATAAATCTGTTCTATGTTTTCACTTAAGCCTTGCCAAAATATTCTGATGTCCTTCTCATCTTGAAGAGCAGGACAACATGGCAGTTATGAAAATGGATTCTATCATAAAACAAACCAAAAAACAAAGAGACTTACATTTGGATTCTGAACTTATCACAAAGTAGCTGTGAGATTGTGGGTCAAGTTGACTCATGTCTTAGAGCCTCAATTCTCTTTTCTGTGATGGGGATGTGTATTCTGTTGGTTGGATATAACAAAGCCATGTCATTAGGTAGTATCATATCAAGGGCTTAGCACAGTGCCAGGGACACAGTAACTCCCTCGAAAAATTCTGGCAATTATCATTGCCTCAATATTTCTTTATGAGCTGTACACATATTAGGTACTTAATTGATGTTTTCCTTAAATGAAGCACTTAAGGGAAGTCATGGTGCATTATGAGCTATTGGTGCCAGTTCAATTCCCCCTTTATTTGAAATGGCTTTGTGAATCACACCAGGCCGAAACATCATCCCTCTGTCCTTCCCTGACTTGTATTTCTGTATTCTTTGAACATTCATTCAATATGGGATAGGTATTCATTCTATCAGTGTAGAAACCATACCTCCTGGGTATTACATTGGGACCAAAATTGGGACCACATATTAGCTGTTATAACTTGAAGAAGGCACATAAGCTGCTTGAACACCAATTTCTTCATTTAGAAAATGATAATGGTGCCACTCATATATAGGGTTTCTGTGAGTATTAAATGGATAATACACATAAAACTCTTTGTAAAGGCACTTGATTAATATAAGTGATCAATAATTATTACCATCATCATTATAATCATTATTATTCATTACTTCGCTCTCTGATAGCTCTTACATAGACCTGAAGGCAACTGTCATATTTTATACATGTGTTATTCCCTTTTGAAGACCCTTGCGTGTTCTGTTACCTATGACTGATTGAGGCAGGCTTAGGGTAAGTAGCCAGAATGATTTCCCTGGGACTGTCTTAGATTAGTACTGAAATTCCTATATTCTGAGGAAAAAAATCCCTCAATCGCAAGCAAAGTAGGATAATTAGTCACCTTAGCAGACTGCAGGAGATTAGAGCTTACAACATGGCCATTTAAAGGATAGGAGGACAATGGCAATTAGACTAAAACACAGAAGAGATGATAAGAATTTGTCTATCAGAAAAACAGGATGTGTAAGTGTAACAGTAAACCATATACTAAGGAAAACCTTGCCCCCAGAAACACAAAGCAGATAATCAGCTCTGTCCCAAAAAAGGTGGGAGAAAAAGGGTACCAGTGCTTGTTGAATAATGTATCCTTACATAAGTGAAACTGTGTCCTTATTTTTATAAACCAATCAAGCCAAACAAATCAATAAGAAAATATTAATTGAGCACATATTATGTGCCAGGTTTCTGCTATGCACTTCATATGATCTTATTTATTTTCCTTAATAATCCAACATTATACTTGTTAGAATGTCTATATATTTCAGAATTTCTGGGAGTGATCCCCAAGTATTTGTTTCTTTTAAATCTTCCCAAGTGATTCCAGAATGTACCTTTCCAGAATTCTAATTTAATTGATTTGGGATGTAGCATGGGCAAAGGGATTTAAAAAAATCTTTCCAGGAACAGAAAGTTGAATAGTGTTCTCCCCAAATTAATATTCCCCTGGAATCCTAGAATGTGACCTTATTTGGAAATAAGGTCTTTGCATTTGGAAATTCAAGATGAAGATGTTTGCTTTGTAAATGTTAAGATGAGGTCATATTGGATTAAGGTGGGCTCTAAATCCAATGACTGGTGTCTCTGTAAGTTGAGAGGACACACAGACATATATATGCAGGGAAGATGGTTATGTGACAATAGAGGCAGAGATTAGGGTCATTTCAGTGTAAGACAAAAAAGCTCAGGATTGCCAAGCATCACCAGAAGCTAGGAAGGGGCAAAGAAGTGTCCTACCCTAGCATCTTTAGAAAGAGTATGGCCGTGCTGATCCTTCAAACTTAAGCTTCTAGCCTTCAGAAGGGTGAGGGAATGGGTTTCCTTGTCTTCAGACACCCAGTTTGTGGAAATTGGTTATGGAAGTCACAGGAAACTAATATACTAATTCTAATACACAGCCAGATTTGAGAACTACCATTCTAGGCAGCTAACCCCCCGATTAGGTCATCTTGACTTTGACTCCTTCTCCACCCAGGTCATCAATCTCTCTCACAGTTGCCCTCAGAAAGGTAAAATTCTTACAGAATAGGGAAAGGGAACATACAGGCTTTCAGGTTGGGCCTTCCTGTGTCAGTTACTTTAAAAACCCTCACGTGACCCTCATCGGGTATCACAGACACTCAGACCTCAGGAATCACATACCCAATCTGTCTCAGTATATCTGCTCCCCTTTCTTTTAAAATATTCCCTCTATGAGAATTCCAAAGAATATATTCAAAGAGAAAAGCACAATCATTACAGTTGAGAAACTGCTCTTGAAACTTATTAGCTCGTGACTCATACTCCTGAAAGGAGCTAATACCTTAATTTCATATTTCTCTGCTCAAATGCAGACCAAGGCGTAAACTGAAATGAAACTTTACACTAATGGCTTCTTAATTATACCCATCTAAAAGCAATTACCTGAGTTTTAGCAGATACAAAGTTAGGGTTGATGGGACCAGCAGATGAGAAATAAGATGAAAGGTCATCTGCAAAAAAAGATCAGTGGAGAGAAGATAAAACACAGTGTGAACAGAGGGGGGAAAAATCCAGAGATAAGTAAAGGTTGATAAATTCCTAATAATAGTCCTTCCTGGTTTCTAAAACAAGGGTGCCCCTTGCTCCCCTAACTATTAGAAATGAGGCTAAAGGAATGTTTTATTTCAAGGTGGAAGCTGACGAGATGTGAAACTTTGATACCTGAATTTCAATTACTTTATGCCTATTTTGAACCCAAACTTACCAAATAATAGAACCAGGATTCTAAGGTAAAAATTATTGAATAGATATCCTTGGTGTATTATTCATTAAAAATCAGCATATATAGCATAAATGCAGTTGCAAAATTACACAAAGCTTATGTGTGCACACGTGTGTGCATGTGCATGCACAGGCAGGGGAGGGGATTCGCTAAAACGCTCCGGTGTCCTCCTTGAGATGGGAGATTGTGATGCCGCTCTATTTATGCCATATGCTTTTGTGTTGGTATTTTGTAGGTGTATTTGTTTGGATTATTTGCAATGAGTATATATTCATTGTGGATAAAAGGGAACTATTAAAAATAAATATCAGAAATGGGGCATCTGGGTGGCTCAGTAGGTTGAGTGTCCGGCTTCGGCTCAGGTCATGATCTCATGGTTCATGACTTAGGGCCCCGTGTCAGGCACTGTGCTGACAGCTCAGAGCCTGAAACCTGCTTCAGATTCTGTGTCTACCTTTCTCTCTCTCTCTCCAGCTTATATACTCTCTCTTAAAAATAAACAAACATTAATATTTTTTTAATTAGAAAAAATAAAAATCAGGGGTGGGGGGAAGCAAACCTAGTGGGACAAAAGCAAATTAAATTGATTAACTGACCTGATATGGATTCTAACACCAGGCTTCACCTGCTTCTCAACATAAATCAGGGTCTCAGACTGAGAACCAAGGGGTAGAATCCATACCACAGGACGTATGTTTTATTTAGGTTTGCGTGATCATTAAAGGTTTTAAAATTCAGTTGCTTTAGATGTCCTCCATCCAGTTCAATTTGCCACATTTTCCCTCATATCTCTCTGTCTCTATTTCTGTCTGTCTGTCTCTCTTGCTCTCATACACAGAGACACAGACACATATAGACACACACACACACACACACACACACACACACACACACACACACACTGAGTCTGTTTCACTTTTTTCTTTAATTTGCCTGACATTTTGCCCCTGTGTTGGCAGTGCCTTTCTCAGATGGAATCTTACCATCGATTCTCCTCTTGGATTAAAATTAATATATACATAAACAGTTTTTAAGAGAGTGAGTGATAGGACTCCAAGTCCTCAAAGATTTTCCTACTTTTTGTCTCATTTTTTGACCAGGTGAATCACCTCTTGGTTTAGAACCCCTAATTTTTTTTCAAATGCAGATATCACATGGGTCTTCATGGCCAGAAACCAGTTACAGATTAAGCATTGCGAGCTCAATACCGACTTCCAGTTATCTGTGTCCATCCAAAACTGCATTTTTGCAAGCCTTCCGGATTCAGAGTCAGTAGGAAGAGTTGGTTTCCCATCAGATATGTTTCATGCCCTATATTGTTTGCATCCATTTTCACTTTTGTGATAAAATTCAATGGACAAGAAATATTTTATTTCAACAATAACCAAATTAAAAACAAAAGCTAACACATATTAGTTGGTTCCTGTCTTCCCTATCGTGCTGGTTGCTTTATCAGTGATAATTCATTTTAACTTTGATAAGAATCCTCTGTGGCAAGTATTACTCTTATTTTATAGATGAGGGCATTGACACTCATTTGGGATAAATAAATTTCTGAAGATATCACAGCTTTAAATGCTAGCAACAGAGGAACAGTTGAAGTCAGTGTGGTAGCAAAGCAGGAACCATTTACCTAGATTTCTGAAGCAATCCCTGGACCATGGTGTGCTGGGCCAGCTGGCACTGGCCTATGACATGTGACTGTGTGTACGCCTCAGTTCAGTGATGTCATGTCAGCAGTCTGAAATCAGCAATGATGAGAGTATTTACACCCTGGAAATTGGCACCTGCTAAAAATCAGGGCTTTTTTTTTTTTTTTTTTTTTTTAATGTGGAAAGAGCCCCTTGTTAAATGCTTACTGGTACAACACTGCTCCTAAACTAGAATGGAGTTCCCTTAATTAATTCAGTTTTTATTGTAGCCCTAATATTTGTCAGGCACATGGTTTGCATCAGAGGAAAAAAAATAGTGCTAAAATAATCCCCATTTTAGAAATGTACAGACTAATGAAATTTAACATGGAAGAAAACCAATGATCACAACATCAAGCAAATAGCAAAGCAAGAAGCAAAAAGCTACTATAGTTGTGTAACAAAATAATAATAATAATAATTAATAATAATAATAATAATAGCTGAGGGTTTTATAAGCAAATTATAGCTAATAGGTAACATTCTAATAAGAATTACTAAAATGGGGGAAGCCTGGGTGGCTCAGCCAGTTAAGTGGCCAACTTCAGCTCAGATCATGATCTCATGGTTCATGGGTTCGAGCCTTGCGAAGAGCGAAGAGCCTGAAGCCTGCTTCAGATTCTGTATCTCCCTCTCTCTCTACCCCTCCCCTGCTCATGCTGTGTGTCTCTCTGTCTCTCAAAAACAAATAAACGTTTAAAAAAAGTTAAAAATAAAACAGTTACTAAAACGGATCCTACTTATTTAAGTCTTTAACTTTCAAATTATAGAAAATGTAACTCAAATGGTTATAAGCAATAAAGGACTTTTTTGTTGTTGCTTATTGGTCTGTTTTTTGTTTGTCTGTTACCAAGACATGTACTAAGAACTATGTACTAGCTTTTTCCCTCTGTCTGAAATGACTTTTATTTTCTCCCTAAATAATCAGCTGTAGTCTTTGAGTTCCAATTTACCTTTTAATTCCCAGAGTAAATGGTATCTCCTCAGAAAGATGCTAAGATACACCTCTAGTAACTCTGAGTCCCATTACTCTGTGTTATGGAACCGAGCCCCACTCTCTTCCTCCCAAAAAAGACAATATGTTGAAGTCTAACCCCAGAGTCTCAGAATACAATCTTCTTTAGAAACAGTTGTTGCAAATATAATTAGTTAAGATGAAGTCTTTAGAATGGACCCTTATCCAATATGACTGGTGTCCTTATAAGAGGGGGACTTTTGGACACAGAGACAATGTGAAGATACAGCGTAGGATGCCATGTAAAGATGAAGGCAGAAATTGCGGTGGTACATTTGTAAGCCAAAAAATGCCAACAATTTCCCCAGCAAATGACCAGAAGCTAGGAGAAAGGCCTGGAACAGATTCTCCCTCACAGCCTCAAAAGGAATCAACCCTACTGACATCCTGATCTAGGTCTTTGAACCCCCAGAACTGTGAAACAATAATGTTTGTGGTTTAAGATACCTAGTTGGTGGTATTAAATTATGGCAGCCCTAAGAAATTAATATACTCTGCTTCACGTTTATTCATCTACTTATCTTCTTGTTTCCTTATTTCTTTCTTTTACTCCCTTTCTCTTCACTCTGTAATGTAAGGACCTCTGTTTCAATGCTATACCTGGTCCTAGACCATTGACTTCCACATAATAAATACTTGGCAAATATTTCTGAAAACAATACAGGGAGTTTATTGACTTAAACAGCTTAAGAGAGGGCTGGAAATAGGATCTGAGGCAGGTTTGATGAAGTAACTTTATTCAATCACCAAAATCTACATTTTCCCTCTCCTTCTCCTCCTCCACAACCCCACATGGATTTGGTATCAGCTTCATCCTATGCTTGGCTTCTCAAAATGGGAACCAAATGGTTCCCAGTCATTCCAGACTTCATCAGTCAAGATTTTCAGTTATTAGGAAAAAGGTGGCTAACACTAAAAGAAATCCCCTTAAAATTAGACAGGATTTCAAATTATTCCAGGTGGTGACAAATATGATAGCTGTGTCCCATAGGGCTTCATGTGTCCACACTTAAGGAGAACAGAAGAAAGCATGGACTTCTAAGCTGACACAGAGGAATGTATGGAAATGTGTTTCAAATGCCTTCATTGGCCTGAACTGGGTGGGTTAAGGGCTCATCCTTGGCCCAATGATCACATTCCTATCGTCAGGGACTAGGAGCAGACAAGGTTAGTCTAGTCAACTGATGCCATGTAGACTGGAGGTAGGGCCATGGCCACCTAAAGCTCAAGGAGTTCTTAGAGAAAGGAATGGGGACTTGGAGGCTGAGACATTACCCAAAGTACCCAGCACACAGTCCAAAGACAGCAATTTAAGAATTCTTGAGTCACTAGCGTCTACCAGCATTACATGGGCCAAGCAGTTACTATGTCACAATTAATGTCTTTTCTTTGTTACTCTTCCAAGTTCTACTCTTTGAGATCCATTGCTTGGGTTACTCTGCATAACTCAAACACAAATTAAAACTGACAGGTTGCTCACACTCTTTTTTCCAAATAGAATGGATTCAGACGGTTTCAAAAGATTTTCGACATCTCAAAAGCACCCGAATGACCCTTTAAAGATATGAAGCCCCATTTAAAAATGGACAGATTCCTGAATATAGGTCTTCGTATATAAACCAATCATTAAACATGGCACTATCTATAATTCAGAAGGAGAGGAGGCAGAGCATTTCCTCAAATTTATTTTTGGTTATTGTCGTGGAGGGAGAATTATTCCCTTCACCAATTGGTTTCATGTTTTTTAGTTTTCTTGATTGATGCTCTGGGTAAAAGCTTCAAATGAACAAAATTTCTGCTAAAAGCTGTACTTATGTGATTCTCTCAAACCACTAGCATTTAAAGGCTAGAATGCACTGGTTTCTAGGGTATAGAATAAAAGGATTTAAGAACACAATTAGTAACTTGTTCCAGCAATTAGAGCTGAGTTTAATTACAAACTAACCTCTTGATAGACCATTTGACAGTCAGTGCAAAGTGAGAGAAAGAGATCAGAAAACTGCTAGAAGCAGCAACAC